ATCATTATCATCATCATGATCATCATCATCATCATCATCATCATCATCATCGTCAGCAGCAGCAGCAGCATCGTCACCACCGCCTTCATCGTCATCATAACCAGCATCATCAGCAGCAGCAGTATCATCATCAGCATCAGAATCAGCAGCAGCATCAACATCATCATCAGCATCATCATCAGCATCATCACCACCATCATCATCGTCCATCATCAGCAGCAGCATTGCCCCGTACACGTCCTCCTCGTCATCGTCTTCCTCATCATACTCCTCCTCAATCCTCCCAACCCTCCCCGCTTCGCAGTCCGCCTCGTCCCTTTCCCCCTCCTCCTTCTCCTCTTCCTCCTCCTCCTCCTCCGCATCGTCATCACCATTTCATCAGCAGCAGCATAATCATCGTCATCATAATCATCATCATCGACCTCAGCATCATCGTCATCATCACCATCACCATCATCGTCATCATCGTCATCATCATCACCATCATCAACACAACCATCAGCAGCCGCAGCAGCAGCAACAACATCACCATCACCACGATCATCGCAAGCATCTCATCATCAGCATCATCATCAGCACCATCACCATCACCATCATCATCATCATCATCATCATCATCATCCTCATCATCGTCATCGTCATCGTCATCGTCATCGTTGTCGTCATCATTCACAACAATATCAGCAGCAGCAACAGCAGTATCATTTGTTATCATCGTCATCGTCCTCCTCATATTACTCCAACTCTTTCCTCCCAACCCTCCTCCTCCTCCTCGTCGCACTCCGCCTCCTCCATTTCTGTCCTGCTCACCTCCACCTCATCCTCATCATCCGCATCATCATCATCCTCGTCACCCTCATCCTCCGCCTCCTCATCCTTCTCGTTCTCATCATCCTCGTTACTTCCTTCTGATCCTCCTCCTCCTCCTCCTCTTCCTCCTCCTCTTCCTCCTCATGATCATCATCCTCACGATCATCGCCCTATTCATCATCATCAACACCACCACCACAATCAGCTGCAGCCGCATTATCCCTCCTCGTCCTCCTCGTCATCGTCATCCTCATTATACTCCTCTTTCCTCCCAGGAGCACGTCCCCTCCGCCAGGGGGTGCGATCAGGGGGGGAGCATCAACTTGAAATCGGCGATACATCTGGGCCCCGGCACTTTCCTGGGCGGGGCGGGCTATCGGGCCCCTCTCGGCGATGATTGGGAAAGTATGCGTCGATGCGTCACCCCCTTGAACCTGTCCCCCCCTAACCTTACCCATTACCTGCTCGCCGTCTAGCTCCCACTCGTACCTGGGCTCCCCAGCGGGCCCCACTTGTCAGGTGGTCCTCCACGCCACCACTGCCAACACCGCAACTGAAGAGAAGCCAAGGAGGACTACGGACGACGGCAACCTTTGTACTTTCACAATGATGTGACACTCTACAGCCTAGCACTTCGAGACCCACCGATTTGAAACGTGCCCGCTGTGATGACACCTCTGCAGACCTGGTATGTGGGCAGAGCGCCGGAAAACATCGTGGGAACGACCAGCGGAACGGATCTACGCCAGGAGAGCTGAGACAACAGAAAAAGATACAACTCCAGCTCGCGGCAGGGCAGCAAGACAAGAACCACAAAAGTACTCACCCCCACATGTACTGCCATTCGGGCGGCACGGTTTCTCGGTGGTCCTTGTTCGCAGCCGCGAGCGGCCAAGGCACGCCATAGTCTGCTAAAGCGTCGGCAGATTGCATGACCCCTGTGAAACGGATACACGGCCGCTGCGCAGGGCCGCTTGCTGCGCCGACCCCTTGGGTCCACTGGCCTGTGACAGTGCTTCGCCCCTCCGCCGCCCACACCTGGAGGGGAGCTCGGCGCCGAGAGTGCCCACCGAACCCCTTGCCCGCTTTGACGCTGGAGGAGGAGGAGGAGGAGGAAGAGGGGGGGGAGGAGGGGGGGAAGGAGGAGGAGGAGGAGGAGGTGGCAGCGTGGCCACCGGCGACGGCCGAGGACTGCAGCACAACCCGACCTCCCCTGTGGCAGGGGGGCCTGACTGTCGTGTGGAGGGGGGGGAGGGAGGGGCGGAGGGGGGGATAGGGGGGAGTGGGGGAGGGGGAGATGGGGGGAGCCACCAGTGACAGCGAGGAATCCTGATGGCCCTTTCGACAGCGGAGCCCCATCGTCAACGAGGCCATCGGGGCAGCATATCCCCGCCCCGGCCTTGCTGCCCGACGGCGGCAGCCAAGTGTCGAATCGGCAGCCTAGGGTTCCCTTCCGCCGCCCTGACAGGCCCTCATGGTTGCCCATCTGACTATGGGGCCGCACTGTCAGATTGGCCATCGGGGCTGGCCCTCCGATGACCAACTCGACTATGGGGCACAATTATCAAGCAGGCTATCGGGGTTAGATCCCGCCTGGCTACCGATGACCAAAAAGTGGCGAAGGTCCCAACCATATGCAGTTGTGGGTACCGTAATTGTGAATATTTGCTTCGGTGAAGCTCCCTATGGGGCCACGAAGCGCTGCACTGGGCGGGGGGAGACGCTGTACTGTGTGGGTGGTGTGCCGAATTGGGTTTCCGGGACGCACGCGGACGGTCCCACTGGGGGTTTCGGTGGAGCTCCCTATGGGGTCACGAAGCGCTCTACTGAGTGAATGAAAATGCCAAATTGGGTTTCCGGGACGCATGCGGACGGTCCCACCGGGGGCTTCGGTGGAGCCCCCTATGGGGCCACGAAACGCTGCACTGCGCGGGTGAAAATGTCAAATTACATTTCCCGGACGCATACGGACGGTGGCACTGGGGCCTTGGGTGGAGCCCCCTATGGGGCCATGAAACGCTGTACTGGGTGGGCGAAAATGCCAAATTGGGTTTCCGGGACGCATGCGGACGGGGGCGGAACCTTCGGTGGGCTCCCTATGGGGCCACGAAACGCTGTACTGGGCGTGCGAGACGCATGCGGACGGTATCACTGGGACCTTCGGTGGGGCTCCCTATGGGGCCACGAAACACTTTACTGGGTGGGTGAAACGCAAGGAGGAGAGGGAGGAGGGCCACGAAACGCTGTACTGGGCGTGCGGGACGCATGCGGACGGTAGCACTGGGACCTTCGGTGGGGCTCCCCATGGGGCCACGAAACGCTGTACTGGGTGTGCGGGAAGCAGGCGGACGGAAGCACTGGGACCTTCGGTGGGGTTCCCTGTGGGGCCACGAAACGCTGTACTGGGTGTGCGGGACGCATGCGGACGCTAGCACTGGGACCTTCGGTGGGGCTCCCTATGAGGTTACAAAAGGCTGTACTGGGTGGGTGGAACGCAAGGAGGAGGGGGAGTAAGGCCACGAAACGCTGTACTGGGCGTGCGAGACACATGCGGACGGTAGCACTGGGACCTTCGGTGGGGTTCCCTATGGGGCCACGAAACGCTGTACTGGGTGTGCGGGACGCATGCGGACGGTAGCAGTGGCACTTTCGGTGGGGTTCCCTATGGGGTTACGAAACGCTGTACTGGGTGGGTGAAACGCAGGGAGGAGGGGAAGGAGGGCCACGAAACGCTATACTGGGTGTGCGGGACGCATGCGGACGGTAGCACTGGGACCGTAGGTGGGGCTCCCTAATATGGTGCCACGAACGTACTGGGTGGATGTAACGCAGGGAGAAAGGGGAGTGGGAGGAGGAGAAGGAGGAGGAGGAGGAGGAGGAGGAGGAGGAGGAGGAGGAGGAGGAGGAGGGAGGAGGAGGAGGAGGAGGAGAGGAGAGGAGAGCTGGAAGAGGGAGGAGGGAGAAGGGGGAAGAGGAGGAGAGGAACGCGGGGACCGTCTCTTCAAAACGAGGACCCAACACCACAGGATGGTTGGAAAAAACTGCGAAGTCATTGCCAGATGGGCTCACATGTCGCTTCCACTGGCCAGGCCCCCCGACACATTGCGACGCTTGTGCCACATTATTAAAATGGCGATCGGAGCCCACTGTCACACCCCACAGACTAACACTGGGAGGGGTCTTGGCCAGCTCAAGACAGCCCGAAGACGCCCCAAGAGCGCCCCCCCGACGGCCAACTGACGGCCCAAGAGGCCAAAGGCTCCCAACAAGTGGGCCCCGACAACTGGGCCAGGCCCCCAAGGAGCGACGAGGGCCCCGAACAAGTGGGCCAGGCGGCCCAAGAGGCCCTAAGGCCGATCCAGGCTGCCCCACGATGCCATGAGATGAAAGCGAGGGGCCCGACTAGAGACCCCGAGAGGGCCCAAGGGAGACCTCAAGATGCCGAAGCTGTGCACATATCACAAAACTGATGATGGCACGTTCTATTTCATGGCGTGGTCAGCGAGAAGAAGAAAAAACAATTAGCCTGACGAGGGACCCAACCATATGCAGGCGCGAGTACCGCAATAGTGATTCACTTTTTCGGTGGCGATCCCTACGAGGCAACGAACCGTGCTAAGGGTGTGCCGACATGAGTGGCGTGGTACACAACGCGAACGAAAACGATTGATCTGAGTACGTCGGGAAACTGAGCGCGGGTGAATCTGCGCGCGTGCGTCTGGCTGTGATTGAATCTGCGTGCGAGCGAGTCTACGTGCATGAATGCGAATATGACAAAGCGTGGTGTGTATGAATGTCAATAGTTTGACAATGACTGCCTCTGAGTACTCGTGACGCTGGGCGTGGCCGCCGCAAGGAGCTTCCCCGGGACTCCCCGACGGCATCGCCCGCGCGCCGCGACGCCAATGTCGGCGCGCCCACCCGCGAGGATCGCGCCCGCTTCCTCCCCTTCCTTTACTCCCTCTTTGCCCGCGCACTCAAAAGTCCAAGGCTGCGGGCGCAGCGCAGCGCGGAGTCCCCGCGACGCGCGCAGGTCGCCCCGGAGGGGTCCCAGCGACGCGCGCGGGTCGTCCACTGCGCGGAGCAAAGAGAGCTAGCTGGCTGGCTGATAGCGGGCAAGGCTCTTGCCGCTGGGCAGAGCGACGACGGGCGAGCGAGGCGCTGGGCAGAACGCAGCACGGAGCCCCCGCGACGCGCGCAGGTCGCCCCGGAGGGGTCCCAGCGACGCGCGCGGGTCGCCCGCTGCGCGGAGCAAAGAGAGCTGGCTGGCTGGGACCTGCGGTGGGGCTCCATATGGGGCCACGTAACGCTGTACTGGGCAAGGGAGACGCATGCGGACTGCGCCACGGGAACCTTCGGTGGAGTTTCCTATGGGGCCACGAAACGTGTGAGGGGTGTGCCGACATGAATGGCGGGGACGCATGCGGACTGTGCCACTGGGACCTTCGGCGGAGCTCCTATGGGGCCACGAAACGTGTGAGGAGGGTGCCGAAATGAATGGCGGGGACGCATGCGGACTGCGCCACGGGGACCGTCGGTGGAGCTCCCTCTGGGGCCACGAAACGTGTGAGGAGTGGGCCGAAATGTGGGTGCGGGACGCATGCGGGCACACCCACTGGGACCTTCGGTTGGGCTCCCTATGGGGCCACGAAACGTGTGAGGGGTGTGCCGAAATGAATGGCGGGAACGCATGCGGACTGTGCCAATGGGACCTTCGGCGGAGCTCCTGTGGGGCCACGAAACGTGCGAGGGGTGTGCCGACATGAATGGCGGGAACGCATGCGGACTGTGCCACGGGGACCTTCGGCGGAGGTCATATGGGGCCACGAAACGTGTGAGGGGTGTGCTGAGCATGCGGACTGTGCCACTGGGACCTTCGGCGGAGCTCCTATGGGGCCACGAAACATGTGAGGGGTGGGCCGAAATGAATGGCGGAGACGCATGCGGACTGTGCCACCGGGACCTTCGGCGGAGCTCCTATGGGGCCACGAAACGTGCGAGGGGTGTGCCGAAATGAGCGGCGGGGACGCATGCGGACTGTGCCAATGGGACCTTCGGCGGAACTCCTGTGGGGCCACGAAACGTGTGAGGGGTGTGCCGACATGAGTGGCGGGGACGCATGCGGACTGTTCCACTGGAACCTTCGGCGGAACCCCTATGGGGCCACGAAACGTGTGAGGGGTGGGCCGACATGAATGGCGGGGGCGCATGCGGACTGTGCCACTGGGACCTTCGGCAGAGCTCCGATGGGGCCACGAAACGTGTGAGGGGTGTGCCGAAATTACACACCCACAAGGACCTTCGGTGGAGCTCCCTATGGGGCCACGAAACGTGTGAGGGGTGGGCCGAAATGGGTGTGCGGGACGCATGCGCACACACCCACTGAGACCTTCGGTGGAGCTCCCTATGGGGCCACGAAACGTGTGAGGGGTGTGCCAAAATGGGTGTGCGGGACGCATGCGGGCACACCCACTGGGACCTTCGGTGGAGCTCCCTATGGGGCCACGAAACGTGTGAGGGGTGGGCCGAAATGGGTGTGCGGGACGCATGCGGGCACACCCACTGGGACCTTCGGTGGAGCTCCCTATGGGGCCACGAAACGTGTGAGGGGTGTGCCGAAATGGGTGCGGGACGCATGCGGGCACACCCACTGGGACCTTCGGTGGGCTCCCTATGGACGGAACGTGCCGGGGTGTGCGGGACGCATGCGGGCACACCCACTGGGACCTTCGGTGGAGCTCCCTATGGGGCCACGAAACGTGTGAGGGGTGTGCCGAAATGGGTGTGCGGGACGCATGCGGGCACACCCACTGGGACCTTCGGTGGAGCTCCCTATGGGGCCACGAAACGTGTGAGGGGTGTGCCGAAATGGGTGTGCGGGACGCATGCGGGCACACCCACTGGGACCTTCGGTGGAGCTCTATGGGCCACGAAACGTGTGAGGGGTGTGCCGAAATGGGTGTGCGGGACGCATGCGGGCCTGGGGTGGAGCTCACGAAACGTGTGAGACCTGGGTCGGTTGGGTCCCTACGCACGGGCATTCGTGGAGCTCCCTATGGGGCCTGTGCCGAAATGTGTGTGCGGGACGCATGCGGGCACACCCACTGGGACCTTCGGTGGAGCTCCCTATGGGGCCACGAAACGTGTGAGGGGTGTGCCGAAATGGGTGTGCGGGACGCATGCGGGCACACCCACTGGGACCTTCGGTGGGCTCCCTATGGGGCCACGAAACGTGTGAGGGGTGTGCCGAAATGGGTGTGCGGGACGCATGCGGGCACACCCACTGGGACCTTCGGTGGAGCTCCCTATGGGGCCACGAAACGTGTGAGGGGTGTGCCGAAATGGGTGTGCGGGACGCATGCGGGCACACCCACTGGGACCTTCGGTGGAGCTCCCTATGGGGCCACGAAACGTGTGAGGGGTGTGCCGAAATGGGTGTGCGGGACGCATGCGGGCACACCCACTGGGACCTTCGGTGGAGCTCCCTATGGGGCCACGAAACGTGTGAGGGGTGTGCCGAAATGGGTGTGCGGGACGCATGCGGGCACACCCACTGGGACCTTCGGTGGAGCTCCCATGGGGCCACGAAACGTGTGAGGGGTGTGCCGAAATGTGCGCGAGGGACGCATGCGGGCACACCCACTGGGACCTTCGGTGGAGCTCCCCTATGGGGCCACGAAACGTGTGAGGGGTGTGCCGAAATGGGTGTGCGGGACGCATGCGGGCACACCCACTGGGACCTTCGGTGGAGCTCCCTATGGGGCCACGAAACGTGTGAAGGGTGTGCCGAAATGGGTGATGACGATGATGATGGTGGGAGGAGGAGGAGGAGGAGGAGGAGGAGGAGGAGGAGAGGAGGAGAAGAGGAGAGGAGGAGAGGAGACGCGGGCCACCGTCTTTTCAAAACGAGGACCCAACACCACAGGAAGGTTGGGAAAAACATTATCCTGGCGAAGGTCCCAACCATATGCACTTGTGGGTACCGTAATTGTGAATATCTATTTCGGTGAAGCTCCCTATGGGGCCACGAAGCGCTGCACTGGGCGGGGGGGACACTGTACTGTGTGGGTGGTGTGCCGAATTGGGCTTCCGGGAAGCACGCGGACGGTCCCATTGAGGGCTTCGGCGGAGCTCCCTAGGGACACGAAGCGCTCTACTGAATGAATGAAACTGCCAAATTGGGCGTCCGGGACGCATGCGGGCACACCCACTGGGGGCTTCGGTGGAGCCCCCTATGGGGCCACAAAACGCTGCACTGCGCGGGTGACAATGCCAAATTACATTTCCCGGACGCATACGGACGGTGGCACTGGGGCCTTGGGTGGAGCCCCCCCTCCTATGGGGCCACGAAGCGCTGCACTGGGTATGGGAAAACGCCAAATTGGGCTTCCGGGACGCATGCGGACGGGAGCACTGGGGCCTTCGGTGGAGCTCCCTATGGGGCCACGAAACGCTGTACTGGGTGTGCGGGACGCATGCGGACGGTAGGGCTGGGACCTTCGGTGGGGCTCCCTATGGGGCCACGAATCGCTGTACTGGGCGTGCAGAACGCATGCGGACGGTAGCACTGGGACCTTCGGTGGAGCTCCCCATGAGGCCACGAAACGCTGTACTGGGTGGGTGAAACGCAGGGAGGAGGGGGAGGAGGGCCACGAAACGCTGTACTGGGTGTGCGGGACGCATGCGGACGGTAGCACTGGGACCTCCGGTGGAGTTCCCTATGGGGCAACGAAACGCTGTACTGGGTGTGCGGGACGCATGCGGACGGTAGCACTGGGACCTTCGGTGGGGATCCGTATGGGGCCACGAAACGCTGTACTGGGTGTGCGGGACGCATGCGGACGGTATCAATGGGACCTTCGGTGGGGCTCCCTATGGGGCCACGAAGCGCTGTACTGGGTGGGTGAAAGCGCATGGATGAGGGGGAGGAGGGCCACGAAACGCTGTACTGGGTGTGCGGGACGCATGCGGACGGTAGCACTGGGACCATCGGTGGAGCTCCCTGTGGGGCCACGAGACGCTGTACTGGGTGTGCAGGACGCAAACGGACTGTAGCACTGGGACCTTCGGTGGGGCCCCCTTATGGGGCCACAAAACGCTGTACGGGAGCACTGGGACCTTCGGTGGGGCTCCCCATGGGGCCACGAAACACTGTACTGGGTGGGTGAAACGCAGGGAGGAGGGGAAGGAGGGCCACGAAACGCTGTACTGGGTGTGCGGGACGCTTGCGGACGGTAGCATTGGGACCGTAAGTGGGTATCCTTAATATGGGCCCACGAAACGTTGTACTGGGTGGATGAAACGCAAGGAGAAAGGGGAGGAGGGAAGAGGAGGGGGAATGGGAGGAGGAGGAGGAGGAGGAGGAGGAGGAGGAGGAGGAGGAGGAGGACGAGGAGAGGAGAGGAGAACTGGAAGAGGGAGGAGGGAGGAGGGGGAAGAGGAAGAGAGCAACGCGGGGACCGTCTCTTCAAAACGAGGACCCAACACCACAGGATGGTTGGGAAAAATTATCTTGGCGAGGGACCCAACCAGATGCAGTTGTGAGTACCGCAATTGTGAGTATCTTCTTCGGTGGTGCCCACGAACCGCATGAGGGGCGTGCCGAAATGTGGCGGGGTACACAACACGAAGGAAAACGATCGGTCCAATTACGAAGGACTGAGTGCGGGCGAATCTGAGCGCGAGTGAGTCTAAGCGTGAATGAGTCTGCGTGCGAGCGAATATACTTTCACGAATAGGATCATGGCTACGCCTCGTGTAGTTGTATATGAATGCGAACGGTTCGGGCATGCCTGTAGGCGCACTCGCGACACTGAGCGCGGCCGCCGCAGAAAGCTCCCACGGGGGCCCCAGCGGCAACGCCCGCGCGCCGCGACGCCCATGTCGGCACGCCCCTCACGAGGATCGCGCCCGCTTCCTTCCCTTCTTTTCCTCCCTCTTTGCCCGCGCACTCCAAAGTCCAGGACTGCGGGCGCAGAGCGGCGCGGAGTCCCCGCGACGGCGCGCCGGTCGCCCCGGAAGGGCCCCAGCGACGCGCGCGGGTCGTCCGCTGCGCGGAGCAAAGAGAGGTAGCTAGCTAGGCTGGCTGATAGCGGGCAAGGCTCTGACCGCTGAGCAGAGCGACGACGGGCGAGCGAGGCGCAGGGCAGAACGCAGCACGGAGTTCCCGCGACGCGCGCCGGTCGCCCCGGGAGGGCCCCAGCGACGGGCGCGGGTCGTCCGCGGCGCGAGACCTAACAAGTACTCGGGCAGTCGAAAGAAGGCGCGGCTCGGGGGGGGGGGGGGGCGCGCTCCACAGGTCAGGCCACGCGGATAAACTCGGCGAAACCGAGCTCCCTGGCGAAACCGCTTCGCGCGCGCCGCAAACTGCTCCAGCTGCTTCCGCAAGCCCTCCGGCGGCCCTGCCAGGAAGAACTCGATGCGCGGCGCCCACATGAGCAGGAGGTCCTCGCGGCGCGTGGCGCGCGAGAGCAGCACATAGAGCTCCAGCCACCAGTCGTCGTCCTCCTTCTTGCCGTTCCCGACCTCGTGGCGGCCGCAGTCCAAGATCACGCCTGGGCGACGTCGGCCGAGGGAGCAGCGCGCCGGACAGCCGACGGCCCAGGGCGAGAGTCCACAGGACCGAGAGATGGTCTGGCTGCAGACCGCTCGCGGTGAAAGCCCCTATGGGGCCAGGAAACGTGTGAGGGGTGTGCCGAAATTCGTGTGGGGGACGCATGCGGGCGGTAGCACTGGGGCCTTCGGTGGAGCTCCCTATGCGGCCACGAAACGTGTGAGGGGTGTGCCGACATGGGTGATGATGCTGGTGATGATGACGGTCGTGAAGATGATGATGATGATGATGATGACGATGATGATGTCGATGACGATGACGATGACGATGATGATGATGATGATGATGATGATGATGATGATGGTGATGATGATGATAATTATGATGATAATGATGATGTTGATGATGATGATGATGCTGATGATGCTGATGCTGATGATGCTGATGATGCTGATGATGCTGATGATGATGATAATGATGATGATGACGACGACGACGATGATGATGATGATAATGATAATAATAATAATAATAATCATAATCATAATAATAATAATAATAATCATAATAATAATAATAATAATCATAATAATAATAATAGTACTAAAAACAATAATAATAATAATAATAATAATAATAATAATAATAATAATAATAATAATAATAATAATAATGATGATGATGATGATGATGATGACGGGAGGAGAGAGGAAAGGGGAGGAGGAGGAGGAGGAGGAGGAGGAGGAGAAGGAGGAGGAGGAGGAGGAGAGGAGGAGGAGAGGAACGCGGGGCGACGTCTCTTCAAAACGAGGACCCAACACCACAGGATGGTTGGGAAAACATGCCCGTGGAGTGCCGCCCACTGGGTCCTGGACTCGATTGCCCCAGGTGTGCAGAGGGCCTGCCGTGGCTCTGGGGGCCCCGCCCGCAGGGCCCTGGGCTCGACGGCCCAGCCTGCGGGTGCCTGGACCTCTGGCCGCGCTCGGGGCCCCGGGACGCCCGCGGAGGGACCTGGCGCCGTGCCCCCCGCGAAGCGCTGTGCACGCCTCGGCCGACTGCCCGCCCCGTGGGCGGTCGGCTGCTGGCAGAGCGCACTGGCCAGAGAGACGCGGCATGCAGCACCGGCGCCGACGGCGCTGCCCGCGCAGGCGCGGATGCACCGCGGCATCCGCGGCCCGCGCCCGGCGGCGCCTCCAGGTAGGCCGCAGTGCCGCAGCGATCAGTGCCAGCCAGGCGGCGGTGGCCTCCTGTCGCCGAGCAGCGCCGCGGCCGAGGGCGCGGGCGCGGGCGAGAGGCCCAGTCTCCGGATCACGCCAGGGATGTTGCTCGGGCGGGGGAAAGAATGCTTACCAGGGCCCGACGAGGCGCTGTGGAGCTCCGCAGAGACCTCGTTCAGGCTGGCGGAGTCGTAGTGCACTCGCACCCACGTGTCCCCGTCCTCCCACACCAGACGTCCGCCTCTGAGCTCCGCCGTGTGCGTCACACCCTCAAGCTCGATCTCGAAGGACGCCGGGCCCTTGGGCGAGATCGTGCACTGCTCGCCCTCCTGCCAGTGCAGGGTGCCGCCTTCGATGACCTCGATGCGACCCCCCGGGTCTGAGGCGTGGGTCCAGAAGCCGTCGAATGGCCGTTCGCCCTCTGCCGAAGCCGAAAGTGGCGGCGTGTACGGTGGCAGCCCCCCTGCCAGCGCCGTAGCGCCTGGCGGACCGCTGCGCGCTGCTGTCGGGGGCGGGGTGCGACAGCGCCGCGCGGACGTTGGCGTTGAATCCCGCACCGTGGCCGGGGTCGCGGGGCCGCTGCGCGTCGTGGACGCCAGCGCCGCCGCTGTGGGTGGCGGCGTGCGGGCCCTGCCAGGAGCTGACCACCGCCGCGAGCCCTCCGCTGCGGAGACGGGTGCAGGGGCTGCGCGAACGACGCGCCGCGTGGGCGTGAGGCTCCTTGCCGCAGATGGCGTCGGGGTGCGCCCTTGGGCCACCGCCCGAGCATCTGCGCCAGCACGTGGCGGTGTCTGGCCCCGGGCGGCTGGTGGCGGTGTCGGATCGCGCGTGGCAGCCGTGGGGACTCCTGCCCACGGCGGGGGCGCTCGGATCCTGACCGCCTCGGGCGAACTCTGGGCTGCGCTCGACAAGGGCGGCGGCGTGCGGTCCCTGCCCGTCGCGGGCGAGAAACGGAGAGCAGCTGCGAAGGGCTGTGGCGAGCGGTCCCTGGGGGTGACCTGCTTCCGCGCAGCTGGAGGGGGCGTGCTGTTCCTCGCGGCATGCGGCGCCACGGCCTTGCGCGGCATTGCCGCCGCGGTCCGCGGCGGAGTGCTCTCCCGCGCCGCAGGCTGTGGGCGGCCCCAGCGGCCTCGCTGCCCTGCCGCGCGCGCCGCCGCGCCCGTGAAGACCGGCAGCGACTCCGCGGCGGCCGCCTCCGCAGACTCTGCCGCCCTGGCTGCGGCCTGCACGGCCTGCCTCGCGGCACGCGCCCGAGCCGCTGCCGGCGCCGACCGCGGGCTCGAGCGCCCCACCGCTGCGCCCGGGCTGCGGGGGCTCTCGCCAGCCACCCCGGCGCTGTCGGCCGCGGCGTCCGCGCACCACTCCAGGGCAGGCTCGCCCTGGGGCACAGCTCGGGTGTTGCTAGAAGTGGCTCTGGCCCAAGGCCCTCACAGCCTTGCGCGCCGCTCGGGGACCCCTGGGGCACTCTGGGCCTCGTGAGGGGTCCTCTGGAAGCCGCCTATGCCTCCATGGAAAAGCTGGGGCCAACAGGGGCCAGGGACACTTCCGGCCACACCCGAGCGGCCTCCTGCATCTCCGGGTCCAGGCCCAGGGTCTTGAAGAGCAGCGCGGCAGACTCTCGCCGCGCGCGCACGGCCCGCCGCGCGCGAGGCCCCCCGCGCGGGGAGGAGCTCCGCGCGGGGGCCCCGGGGTGCCAGCTCCGCGACCTCCGGATGCCGCGTGGCTTCCACGGGAAGGCAAGCCCGGGGCTCGACGCCCCCAGCGGCTCGCCCTGCGCTGCACCCTGACGCTGACTGTGGGCATCGGGTGTGCCCGCGTGGCTCGGCAGCATGCCCGGCGGCGTCTCAAACTCGGCGAGGAACTTCCTGCCCTTGTCGCCGCCGCCTTTGTGAAGGTGTGAGGACACGAGCTTCTGATACTCTTCCGACCACTGACAGCGCTCCAGGGCTGCCCTGTGGACCGTCATGCACTGCTGCAGCTCATCCTGCTCCTCCTTCTCCCTCTGAACCCGGCAGGCCTCCAGGCGTCGGAAGGCGTCGGCGTAGAGCAACGTCAGCCTCCGCAGCTCCTTTGCGGGCGCTTTGCCGCGAGCCCCGCTGGGGTCTCCACTGGCCGCAAGTTTGCCAAGGTAGTCTTGCTGGCGCTCGACTCTCTCTTTGAGCTCCTTAAGCTTCTCCTGGTGCTTACCAAATGCAACCTCGTGGTGCTTGTGGGCAATCTCCTCGGCGGTCAGGGGGCCGATCGGGCGACTGTGAATCGACATCTGCTCCAGCGCCTTGTCGAGCTCCTTATCCTTGTCCTCCTGGAGCTTCTTGCGCTTCGCCTGCAGCTCGAGGGCGGACTTGTAGAGATCGCCGCACCTGGACACGCTGCTCCCGGCCGCCTTCTGGTGCACGCTGCGCTCCTGTAGAGCAAGGAGCTCCTGCTTCTCCTCCGACTCCTTCTGTTCCGCACGCCTACCAAGAATTGAGCCGTGCATCTTGTGGAGCTGCTCCAGCCGGGCCATGCCACCCTTTCGGGCATGGTTACTGAGAACGTGCTTCGGGTCACCGATCTTCGGCTGGAAGGTGCAGTGCTTCTTTAACGCCGCCTCCTCGGCTTTCCTTGCCTTGAGCTCCCTCTCCTCGATCGAGCGGAGGCCCGTGTCGTACAGCCGGACGCACCTCCTCTCCGCCTCCTCCCTCGACTCCGCGACGGGAAACTTCCTGTGGAACTCCTCGGCCTCTTCCTGCTGGGCGCGGACCCGCTCCTCCTCCACCCTCTTGCGGAACCTGGAGCGCTTCTCGGCGTCGCGGAACAGGTGCCCGAACACGTCGCTGGCGCCGCTGGCCAGCACGCGCGGCCCGTCGCCCGGCGTGGGCCAGCGGCGGCCCTGGGGGGCCGCCTGCCCGGCGACCGCCACGGACGGGCCGGTGGCGCCCCGCGGGGCCGGCGAGCTGGCGCCGGGGCCGGCGCGCCCTCGCGGGGACCCCTGGCCCCCCACCTCCGCTGGCGCCCCCCGCGCCCTGGGCGAGGAGGGCGGCGACGCCGTGCGCGCGCGTGCCCCCCCGCGGGGCCCTCCGCGCGGCGCCGCGCCGGGCCGCCGCGGCCGCGCCGGGGCGGGCGGCGAGGTCGTGCGCGCCCGCGCCTCCGAGGCGCCTCCGGGGCTCGGCGCCTCCGAGGCGCCTCCAGGGCTCAGCGCCTCCGTGCTGGGGCTCCGAGGGGCGTCGCCGGGCGACGCCCGCGGCGCCAAGGGCACCCACGGCCGCCTCCGCGTGTAGCCGAGAGCCGTGGGGCCCAGCGGGCGCCGGTAGCGCCACACCGGCGCCTCGCCGCCGGGCGCGGCGGGCGCGGCGAGCTCGTCGGGCTCGTCGGGCTCGGGCTCGTCGGGCTCGTCAGGCCTTAGCTGCCCCGATACGCAACACGCAACACTTTTTGGTCGGCGGGGCGAGAGCGAACCTCTTCCGCTAAAAGCCAGGCGGGCTACGCACAGCACTAATTGGGGAGACAGGGCACAGGCGGGCGGGGCCTCAGGCGGCCGGAGAGGGCGGGGCCCGGGGTGTAGGCGGTGCCGAGGAGCTTGCACAAGAAAAGGTACGCCGTGGACACGAGCCGGAGGCGAAGATCTGGAGGGTACGCAACACGCAACACGTAGCGCATTGATACGGACCTCAACACGTAGACTGAGCACGTACGTTTTGAACACGGACGTTCTGAACACGGCACGTGTGACGTTTCAAAACGTGCGTATCAGAGCAGCTAAGCGTCGGGCTCGTCCTCCTCGCCCCAGCGGGGCGTGAAGGCCTGCGCGGGCTCGGGAACGGGCGGCTGGCGCCCGGCGGCGGGGGGCAGCTCGTCCTCGTCGGAGTCCTCGACGCTGGGGCCGCCCGGGGCGCGCCGCCGCCTGGCCTGCCCGGGCAGCGTCGAGAGCACCGGCCTCCCCATCTTCGCCAGGAGCAGCCGCAGCTCGCGGTCGGTGGCACACACGGGGCTGCCATCGTCGTCCACGGCCGCCATGAACTCCTCAAGGTCGGGGGGGCCAGCCCACCCCTGCTCCCCCAGGAGCTGCAGGTAGTCCTGCTCCCAGACCTCGTCGTCGCCGTCGAAGCCAAGGTGGTCGGCGTACTGGCGCATCTCGTCGGACTCGAGCCTGTGCGTACCGTTGGCATCCATCAGGTTGAATACCTCTACCACCAAATCTCTGCGGTCCATGATCTCGAAGAGGTCCCTCAGGGCCCCGTCGTCATACCGCAACTCGCAGTCCTCCTGCTCCAGCATCCGCAAGAAGTCCTTCAGGGGCACGCCTTGCGTGCAGTCCCACCCGAACCTCTCGCCGAGGCCTTCGTACACAGGACCCCACTGATCATCCTCCTCATTGAAGCCGCACCGGCGGGCTTGCTTGAGAAGCCCGTGTGGCCCGATGCGGCCCTCTGGGCGGTCTCGGTCGCAGAGGTGCCGGAAGAGCTTCCGCACCAGCGCGCAGCGGCAGCCCAGTCTCCTGAGGGACAGGTGCAGCTGCCACGGGAGGGCGGAGCCTGGGCTGTCGTCGTCGTTGACCATCCGCACGAACTGCTCGGGGGCCAGCCCGGACTCGGGGCCGATGCTGTACGTCCGGCAGATGTTGCCCCACTCCTCGCCCCACTCCTCGTCGCTGCCCGCGAACTCCAAGGTCTCGGCGTACACCAGCAGCTGCTCGGAGTACACCCTGTGGGGGTGGCTCAGGAGGAGAGACGACAGCACGCCCGACGCGGGTCTGGGCTGCCTGGACTCTTGGTACAGGCTCAGCGTCCGGAAGAGCTGGGCCACCAGCTCCTCCCGACAGTCCAGCTGCGAGAGCAGAGCCTGCAGCGCAGAGTTGGGCCACTGCGGGGGGTGGTCCAGCATCTGCACGAACCTCTCGTAGTCCACGCTGTCGCCTGGGCCCAGCCCGTGCAGCTGGCGCGCCTCGGACGAGCCGCAGAAGGCCAGGAACGGCGCAAGCTTGGCGGCGCCCAGGCTGCCGGCCCCGTCGACGTCGAGCAGGCGGAACGCCTTCCAGGCCAGCCACTCCCGGTGCCCGAGCAGGGCGAGGAGCACCTCGCACCCGGGGCCGCTGGTGGCCAGCGGCCCGTCTGGCCCCAGGCCGGCCGAGAACTGCGAGAGGGTCACCCCGTCTGCTGGCGTCGAGGAACAAAAGGCGACAAGAGCACAGGAGCGACGACCAAAAACGGGTCTCACGAGAGGTGACAGAGCGACCTCACGCGAAGGCCTACGCGGGCCACCAGCGCGGCAAGTCACAGTGGCGGCCAGGGCGCTTACGCGCGACCTTACGCGAGCAGCTTGCGCGCGAATGTCGGCGCACCCGACCCCTCTTTTTGCGTCGCTCATGTAGACGTTGGGGACTCCGCGCGGACTCCGTGGGTCGGCGCTGCACCCCCCTCCAGGGCGCGCGGAGCGCCCCAGGTGTGGCGCTGGAGGCGCCGCCAGGAGCGTCCAGCGCCGCTCACAGAAATCAGCCTCCGCTGGACGCTGCTCCCCCCCAGGCTCTGACCCCCGCTGGTCCCCTGGCTGGCCTACCCCGCCCCAGCTGCCACCGCGCCGCCGCTGGGCCCCCGGCGCCGTCCCCTGCCGCCGCCTGGCGCCGCTGTGAGCGGGCCCGGCTTCCTCCTCCTCCTCCCTGCCGTCGCCGGGCGCCTCCCCTCTTCCCCCCGCGCATCGCGACTCAGTTCGAAATTGTTCGTCCAACATTTGCCCTTTCCGCCAGCGCAGTCACCCCGCCTAGCCGCCGACGGAACAAAAAAAAAAAAAAAAAAATGTGCGTGCCGTCTTTGTTGGTCCTCGATGGAGTGGTGCCGAGCCGCCGGCACAGGTCGTCCAGGTGACTCAGCCAGGCCTCGCCTTCCCCCGGGCCGTCGTAGCCGATCAGGGTCGCGTACTGGAAGAGCTCCGCGGACCGCAGCACCTTTCGAGGGCGCGCAAGCATAGATGAGCGATCCGTGGATTTGGCGCGCGGTCGCCAAATCCATCGATCGGGGGAAGTGCCCTCCCCAAAGTGCGGTTGGTGCCGCCTCGCTCGGAGGCGGAAATCCGCGAGTCCCCATGGAAACCGAACCCGTCGCTAGTCCACGCCCTCTTAGTCCATGTTTGCGATCGCCTGAACGTTGTCTGGCAACGCGCGGGACCGCGCACAGATAGCCCCCCGCACAGAAGAGGAAAGAGGAGAGCATAAACGCTCGGAGGTGCGCGCGGATTTCTTGGGTCGTCGCTGGACCCTCCTCCCTGCCGCGCGGAGCGCGCCAGGGGCGGCGTCGATCCGAGAAATCCGTGTGGGCACCCAAAACTCTATGTTCATACCTATTGTTCCTTCTTCAACAGAGACAAGTCCTGGCTAGCTAGCCTCGACGGGCCTCCAGGGTAGCACGCGGCGGACTCAACACCCCAATGCCCAGGTCACCTCACGTCGCGCGTCGCGACCCGCGACGCGCGAAGCGCGACTTTTTTCCGCGCCCTCGCGCCCTCGCACCGCCCCCTTCTAGACCGCGACGCGCGACGCGCGACAATCTTCGCGCCCCCCGCGAGTGACCCAGAGAGCCCGGGGGCGCGGAGAAGACCCCTCGGAGTGCGAGGCGGCGCGGGAGCGCTAATACAAGAAGGAAAATACAATAAACATACGCGGTCGGCGCTCCGCGCAGATTTCCTGGACCCGCGCTGGACCCCCTCCCTGGCGCGCGGAGCGCGCCAGGGGCGGCGCTGGAGGCGCCGCCGGGGGGTGGCCCAGCGTGGATCCAAGAAAGCCGCGAGGAGCGCCAAAAGTGCATGGCTACAGCGTTTTTCTTTTCCTCAAGAGGAGACCCCCCGGGGGGGCGAGGCAGAGCGGGGGTGCTCGGGCCGCCCTGGACCACTCCTGGGCGAGCGCGTTCCACCACTCGCAAAGTAACGACTCGCAAGTGGCCCGGATCCGCCGCGGGGGGTCGAGGATGGATAACGTCGACGCGGACGTGTGTTTTTTGTTTCGGACGTTTGCGAGTAGGCACTTTGCGAGCGGTGGAACGCGCTCAATGAACTCCCGGCGCCCGCCGAGGGCAGCCTGGGCAGCCCCGACTTCCGCCGGGGTCGGCCCGCGCCCCGCGCGCGGAGGCCGCGCCTCGGGGCAAGCGCAAGCCCGGGCCAGCCAGGGCCACGTCGCGCGCCAAGGCGCGCCGCGGAGTGGGTTCCCAGATCCCGGGCCCAGGGAGGAGGAGGAGGAGGAGGAGGAGGAGGAGGATAACGCACTGCCCTGGCGGACGCCGCGCAGTGATCGCGCCTAGCGTGCACAAAGAGAGGGGACAGGCAATCGCCCATCCAATGTGCTAGCAAGGTGCGACTCGCCCCCACCGAGGATCACGGGGCGGGCCGCCAGCACGGACGGCTCAAGAGAGCCAGGCGCAAGCGCCAAGATATGTAAACCCAAAACGAGCGCTAGGCCCCAGAGGGGCCCAAGCGCAACCAGAGCGTTTCGGGGTCAGTGGCCAAAAGAGGCCTAGGGGTCCGAAGGGTGCGGCCGTTAGGCCTGCCTTCGTCGGCAGGGTGCCGACACTCCAAGAACAGTTTGCGATTACGAGTCGCCCTCTCCGACATCTGGTGGAAGTGGGGAGGGCGACAGTCCACAAGGAGGTGACTTGCGACCCCTGTGGTGTAAAAACCGCAACGAATACACAAAACGACCATCCCTGTGGCGACCCAGCACCGATGCCCTCTAGCCGCCCCGGGCGGCACAATGCCAGCAGCTGGCAACGGGGTAATCGGCACGGTGGTGTCGCTCAATCTGGGGCGGGGATTGTTGCGAGCTTGACGCCTACGCTTAACTCTGGGGAGGTCGGCATCGACGTCCGCAATGGCTCGATCCTGCTGCTCCTGGCAAGGAGACCGAGCCAGGACGATGGGATCAAAAGTGACTCTCGGCCTGACGCTGCGACTGCCCTCGCCTTCGGAGCTAGACGAGCGAGGACGACAGGACGACCGACGAAGGTCCGAAACGTCGGCGAAGACGTGAGGAGGCGGGAAGGCAGCAGCATGGGCGCTACCAGCGCTCCTCTCAGGAATAGGAGCCTCCGTCCCCATGGCGATGTCGTCGCCAGCCACGGGCACTTCACTGGGCAGCTGCACGTCTCGGCCAGCTTCGGCGTCTCGAAAAGACGCCGAGGCTGAAGCGGACGCGTCAGAGCCCATGGAGGAGCCGACGGCCAACGCAGGCCCAAGGGGGCCAGGCCTGGGGACTTCTGGAAGCTCTGATGCCTCGAGTCCGAGCGTAGCCGCCGAAGCCCGAAGGCGAGCAGAGCAAGAGAGGACCTCGAGGCGACCGACTCTCTCAGCAGTCTTAGCGCCGAGCTTGCAGTACCCGCAGCGGAAAATCCTTCTCCCTGGGACTTTGACAAACACGTGTCGGAGATGAGACGGGGTGTCACCCGCGTCCTCTTCATGGGGGGGGGGGAGCGCGGCGGGCACGCTTAACCCGAGGCTTGGTGGGACAGCGCCCTGTGCCACCATAGATGGTGAGGGCACGCACCATCCATCGGAGACAAAGATTATAATTCTTGAAGGCGACAGCCATGGCCTTACGGGCCCGTTGCGAAGCACAGCATAAATCGCGCCCTCTGGTGGCAGCCAGGTCGGCCCACCGATTACCTCGCGCCACTTCGCTGCCGCCCCGCTGATGCCCTTTACAAAGCTCAAAGGAGACACCACTCTGGAGACCGCCGAGGTCGTGATTTTTTTCCCAGATGGCCTCCCAGAGGTCCAGGTTGTTTCGACGAGGAGCTAAACACCAAGCTGGACCCCTGACAAGCCCATCGGGCAAACCTTTAAAGTCGGTAACTATGACGACAGGAGGCAGGCAGGCCATCAGGACTTGAAGGGCAGCAAACATCTCAGCCCGAGGGGAGGTCTGCACAGGACCTGGCAAAGCTCCGTACACAACACATTGGACTCCGCCACGGTCGCGATCAGCTAGGGTGGCGAAGCCCCACCCTGCTCGGGCCGACTCGGGCCAATACCAGATTCGACGACAGGCTCCGCCCGTGTAGACCCTGCCCGAGACGCCCCAAGGGCTTCCATACAGGATGCGCCAGGCCCCCGAGTCGTCCCGAGGTGGTAGTACGGGGAAACCAAGAACGCCCAATAAGTCCACGGTCCCAAAACCAAGAAGAGCCCTCGACACACGGTGGAGAACCACGAGTATCCAGGCGAGACATCACCTGTTCACGCTCCTGTGATAGTACATCGGACGAGCATTTCCAAACCACATGATGCACCCCACATTTCTCGGCACCGCACATCGCACACTCTGAGCAATCCGTGTAACCCAGCTGCGCAAGTCTTTGCGGTAGCCAAACGCCACCTGTGACGAGCGCCTGACCAGCCTCTCGCTGGTCTGGTTCCCAGCGCGAGGAAGCACGCTGCTCGTAGTGGCCGCCGCGATGGTCGGGGGGGGGCCCTGTTCGGTGTCATCCTCTGAATCCGACTCCCCCACGCGAACTCGACCCGGGGCCTTCAGGAGGGGCTCGACCCAGTAGCCGGCGGGTTCTTTCGGGGCCATATCCTGGGATGTGCTTTCGGGCCTGCTGGCCCACAGGGCCCATAAGCGACGAGCGGCAGACTCTTTGGCAAGCGCAAGCAAGGTCGAAGGGGCATCTCTGCGGAGGTCCAAGATGTCCCCAAGGTCGGTACGACATACATGAGCTGAGACCGTGGTCCATCCGAGATCTCGAAAGGCCAGTAGTGTGGCCCCAGCAGGGCCTGCGACTTTATTCCATGGCTTGGGGCGGTTGTAGAGGATGCGAATTTGCTGACTCCAAGCCCTCTGTAGTACGTCCCCCGACTCAGCCTTGTCACGACGCAACAGTGCCCACTGATAAATCGGGGCACACCAGGCATCGCCTGGGGGTCGGCCAGACTGTCGGGCTGTAGCGTAGCACTCAGCCACGCTGAAGTGGCGCCTCCTGGCGTATGCCAGGCACTGCGCAAGAGGCGCCGTATGCGGTGCACAAAGCGGGGCGGGATGCCATGTACTCCTGCCCCGTAACTGAAGGCTGGGGGGACCGCCTGTCGTACGAAGCGATTGACCACTCGCCCTGCCCTCCGTACACTACGAAATCGGGGTACCCTCCGACCTGTGGCCCGAAGTCGGGATCGTAACTTGTGAAACCGTAGCGGACGTCCTGCTGCCACATCAATCCCAAGAACCTCCAGGGCACTGTGATATACAAACCCAAGAGCCCGAACGATGTGACAGATGGCCCGTCCTGTTTTGGGATGGCTGCACGTGATTATCATCTTATTCACAGCCGCTGGAAGCTCAAGGCGTTCCAGCACGCCATGTAGTAGATGCAGCATTTTGGGCCCCTGGTCAAGAAGGGCCTCGATCGAACCAGCGATCGAAATCGTAACGTCATCGGCGTAAAGGTCGATGGACCGAGAGATGGTGTACGTGTGCCTATACAAGGCATCGAAAGGCTGCAGCATGATGCATTGCAAAGCATACATAGCCAAAGCACACCCAGGCAGGACCCCACGAGTCGCCCAAGCAACCGCAGAGTAGGCCCCATCCCATACCAAACGCCGTGCCGAGCCATACATACGGAGAGCCAATGTTATTAACACACCTGGAAATTGATGGACCCCAGCGGAAGCGAGGAGCTTACGCCAAGGTATCTTGCCGAAACACTTGGCAATGTCGACGATAGCGTGTAGGGAAGCCTGAGTCGGATCGTCCCCTGTGTGAGCCTCAGCGTGAACCAGGGGTCGAGCAGCCACGTCTGCGGTGGCCTTCTGTACCCCTAAGGCCAGGTAGGGGCGGCATAGCTGAGAGGCCCATTCTCGTACAAACGTCATCCTGGCTTTCGCCCACACACGGTAAACCGAGGGCAGAAGGGCGATGGGGCGGTAGCCCCCAAGGGGCTCAGCCAGAAGGACGATGTGCACGTG